ACAATAGGTTGGAAGCTCAACAGAGTCTTGAATGTTATCAAACTCGATTGTCTCGCACCTTCAATAAAAGAGTTTGCCTAAGATCCTTTCAAGTAGGGGATCAAGTCTTTGCCATACTAATACCCATTATTACTTCCATTAAACCTGTAGGGAAGTTTACTTCAAAATGGGATGGGCCATATGTCGTGCAAGAAGTTTATTCAAGTGGGGCTTACAAGCTGGTTGATGCAGATGGCATGAGAATCGGCCCTATCAATGGCAAGTTTTTGAAGAAGTATTATCCTTCAAGCTACAAGGCTCCTTGACGCATAAGCCTAAACTGCATGTTCCTATACTTCTGGCCCGCATGAGTATAAACTGAGTACGACCCAAAAAAAAGGTCCGCTAGGTTAAAAAAACCTCGAAAGAGGCAGCCTAGGCAAAAGTTAGGACATAAAAAAAATAAAATAAATAAATAAAACAAAAAAATCACCCATTCTGAACTACGGTATGACTTGATCCTCTTCACCGAGGTATGTAGGCAGCTTAGAGTTTCATTCTGAGTTCAGTCGCATAAGTTCAAAAGATATATAATCCCCCATCGTTGTTCGAATGAAGTACGATGAAATATAATCCATTCAATTAGCACTTGAAAATCAAGCTGAGATACCATTCTTCTGTTAAATTTTGGATCCCATTTGATTTAAAGAGGGCAAGCCGCTATGGTAAATTGGTGTCTTCAATGAAATGATCAATATATTTTAGGAGGCTGCCCAACATTTGCATTGAAGTTTGAGGATTCACTATGTCTTCATGTTCACCAAAGCTTTAAGTTTTTTTTGTGTGCCTTCACGACGTTTCAAATTCAATGAGACTTGAACCCCATATATTTGTTGAGAATGAAGCTCTTGAATTTCAATTTCTGACAATTAAATTAGGTCTTACAATCTCAAGGCTTCCACACCAAGATACAATTTTTTTGGTGAAGTCGCGTTAATTTGGAACTGTCGGCATATCAGAAACCAAAGTCGAATTCAAACTATTATCTGAAAATATCCTTAAAGTATTAAATTTTATATTTTGGATATATTTTAGATTTTGAAGTTTAGTTTCTAAGAAATTAAGTGGTTCGTAATTTCGACGTCCCTACTTCAAGATACAAAACTTTTGGCGAAGTCGTGCAAATATGAAATCATCAGTGTGTTAGAATTTAGTATTGAGTTCAAAATATTATTTGAAACTATCCTTAAGGTATTAAATTTTGAATTTTGGATATGTTATAGATTTGGAATTTATGTTTCCAATAAATTAAACGGTTTGTGATTTCAACATTCCTACATAGAGATACACAAGTTTTGGTGAAGTCATGCAAATATGAAATCGTCGCCGCATCAGAATTTAATATTGATTTCGAACTATTATCTGAAACTATCCTTAGGGCATTAGATCTTGCATTTTGTCTATGTTAAATATTTTCAAGTTAAGTTTTCAAAAAATCAAACGGTTCATGATTTTGGCTTTTCTACTCCAAGATATGATTTTTTTGGTGAGACTGTGCAGATTTCAACCTGGTGGAATCTAAAGTTGGTTTCAAAAATATTATCTGGGGCGATTCTGAAGGTGTTTGATTCTAAGTTTTGGATATATTTTAGATATTGAAGTCTAATTTTCAAAAAATCAAACGGTTCGTTATTTGGACTCTCCCGCGATAAGATATAAATCTTTCCTTACAAGTACGTAAAGCTGAAAATTATGCGACTAAGATAAATGTCGGGCAATGTAAAGCAAAAGGGAAGCAATCTTATTTAAGATGAAATAAATATCCATTAGGTCAATCTAACATAAAGATAAAATGGGAGATAATGCTAATAACTTAATCTAAACAAAACTTATAGTTGATCAATTCTTGACAGCTAGTTTCTAGATTCTTCTTCTTCTCCTCCAAATTGGCCGAATCATCAACAATCAGCAAATTTATGTTGTCATATGAAGAAACCTCAGTCTCGGCAGTTGAAATTTTTGTCTGAATCTCTTAAACCTCCTTTTGAGTCGCTTCTATAATACCTTCGAGGTTCTCCCTCTATTGTTGTAATGTCTGCAACTCCTTCGCAACTTTGTTCAGTTTTTTTTCACTAGAGGAAACTTTCTTGACTTTCTCACTTACTTCAAGTTTGAACGATTCAAGACGCTCTTTAGCTTTGGAAATCAGCTCTAGCTTCTCATCTTCACTCGTCTTATCATCCATATTGGATCGCTCTTGGTTATATGACACGGTAAGCTCAAAAAGTGAATCCAGTAAACCCTCTAATGGAGAAAGATCCAAAATATTCGTCTTCTTCATATCCTCGAAAATCTCAATGATTTGCTCGCTATAAAATGAGATCAATTCTGCACGAGTTTTGGAGAGTCTATTGCAAATATCCTCCCAAAGACCCAAGATGAATTTCTTTTTGCGATTAAAGACAATGCTCTTTCCTTCAAAAATAGATACTGTTGTATTTGTCATTGGTGGAACGGGGTTATCTCATTTGGAGTTTGTCTTTTTAGGGATTTGTCATGAGGAAGAGATGATACCTTTGAAGATGACTTCACTTTAGACGTAGGCCCTCCAATAGATTCATCACTCACTTACGCCTTGTCATGTGGGGATACCATCGGATGCCCAATGACGTTTAACTGCATAAGGAAAAGGAAAAGAAAGTAATTAATTTATAGTGAAGCTATTCGGAAAAAAAATTGAAAAAGGCGAGGTGATTGTATTTTACCTCTTTGTTACAAGCTGTATGCGTTCTTGAGGGACTATCAACACTTGGAACCTCTACGATCTCTACTGGGTTAGGCCATTTCCTTTTCCAATTTTGATCTTCATTGGTACTCTGTCTTGTATCTTGAGGAACTCGCGTGGTAAATGAAAGAACTGGAGGGTGTTTCTCTATATCTGTTGAAGTGCACACCACCTCTTTCAAAGCCATCTTTGAGGATTTAAGCTTCCTTTTCTTATGTTGTGTAACTACTTTTGAGGTTGGAGTTGGTGGTTCTTTGACTTTTGAGAGCATCTTTCCAACACCTTGATCTTCACCTCCTAAAGGAGTAGTAGATTTTAGCCTAACATTCTCTAAAGATCTTGTAAATTATTCTCGAGAAATTTCCCATGCGCTTTCTCCCATCAAGACATATAATTGGTGGAGAAAGGCTTCTCCACAGGATCTCCCCTTGGGGGAAAAACCGCATGTGACATAAACCGATACAGTGTGCAAATCTTCAAAAATTTGAGTCCTTCATCTAGAGAGGCACAGATATCATTCTCCAAAAAACCAGAGACGTTCTGGTAAAACCCAAATTGACGACCAAACCGATGCGGGCTATATGGATCGATGATGAATGAGTCATCATATCTCAAAGAGAAGTAATTAAAACGTAAGCTCATGAAGTAATTTGACTCCAACTCTTGAGGGGCATCATTATCCACATAATAATAAGGAAGAGAATTGGTTAACATTGTTGGTGTCCAAACTATATCCTCCCCATTGTGGATGCTTTTTCTTGCATCCTTCTCATCAAAGTACCTCGCAGCTCCCTCTCCTGAGTATGCCACCATCAAAGGGACAAACGGATCCTTAGCAAGTGGATAATGAGTTTTGAGTTAATGTGCAAGCTAGCCGTAAACATAATGGATAGAAAAACAAACTTTGACCTGATCAAGTTGGGAAGAACACGAAATCTTATTCAAAACATGAAAAAATACTCGCAAAAACTGGGATCGCAAGACTAATTTTTTGTCCGCTTGCCATCATGCTTGCCATCTTAAAAGTCTCGGGACGAATGAAGTTCTCTACCTTATGGGGAAACACAAAAGCACATAGCCAAATTGATAAGAAGGCTGCTATATATGTTTCATCTTTCTTGTCAGACCTCACCCTAAGCTTGGAGAATATAGCTTCTTGATCACTCGACTACCTAGTTGTCTCGGAAATAACTCCGTTAGGATTATATGTCAACTTTAGGCATGCATATTTTTTTTCCTTTTGTAGTGGGGCAGGTTTATATATTAAAGCTTTTTTATATCAAAAATTTGTCCACTTGCTTAAGGAGACCTTTTGGTTAACACCCGTACCTTCCTTAAGGTGATGGAAGGCAGCAAATAAATACTCGCAAGATCGAGGAATAAATCTCATCTGTTTTTCGTCCAAACCGATAAGTTCTCTTGTCTTAGGTTCCACTTCTTCGTACGGAGAGCCCGCAATGGGCAGACCTCCAAGGATATGTATGTCCCAAAGAGAGTAATTTTTGACTCGCATAGTTTTAAAGTTCGTTTTAGTATCTTTATGTTTTAAAATATCTACTTGAGTTATTATGTAATTTTAGCCTTTTTGTTTTTAATTTCAAATCAAATTAAAAAGAAAAAAAAGAAGAAGAAAGTTTCAATTTATCTTATTAGATATGCTTGTTTTTGTTTTTATTTTTTTTAAGTTCATTAGTATTTTTATAGTAGTATTATGCTAAGTTTGCCTTGATTTTTATATTTAAATTTTTAGTATAATCCTTGAAAAATACAAAAAATAATAATAAATATATATATAGTTTCATGTTTTACCTTATTTCTATTTAGTCTAGGCTATTAAGATTTTTATAGCCATATATTTTATTTTTACTACGATTTTCACTCTTACTTTTAATTTATATAAAACATGATATATTAGAAAATATATAGTTTCATATTATTACATAGTTTATTTAATTAATTGAAATTAGTTTAGTTTAATTTAAAAAAAGATTGTGTTGATTATTTTATGGACTTTTAAAAATTTAAGAAGTACAAATTTAGCCCAATTTTATACAAGAGAAGGCCCAAACCGGACAGCCCACATCCCCAACTAAACCCGCCCTAAATAACCCTCTGACCCGCCCCATCCCCTCTTTGAATCCTAGCCCTCCATCCCAATTAATCTAATGGCTAGCATTAATTCCATCAACCATATAAAAGCTTAATCTTCCCCAAACCCTAAACCTAAAGACTAGTCGCCCCATACCTTCCCTCTCCTCCAACCCCTCTGCCCGCTTCCAACTCGCCCAAACTCGCCGGAATCGGGCGAGTTCGCCCTCAACAAATCCCATGGTCCCCCTCTCTCTTCTCCTTCTTCCACGTCATTCATTCCGTACTAAATCTCATCATTTCAATCCGATTCACACGGATTTCTTCTTTTATTTCTTTTGTTTAAACACAAATCCGAGGCCCTTGAATAAATTTGGGAGAAATGGAAACCATTGGATAAAGATTTTTGTCCAAAGTCTCCATTTTTCCAATTTTTGTTTGTGAAAGGGGGATTTTCGGATTTGATTTTGGGGTCCCACACGATTTCTTGCTGAGGAAGAAGAAGCTTCGAGAGAGGGTATATTTGGAGCCTTTAGACAGAGAAGAAAAGGTGAAAAAGTTCTAGGGTTTTGATACTGGATTTCGACATTTCTCTTCTGATTTTCGATTTTTCATACAAAAAAAGAATTGAATTCTTCTTGGTTTGAATTTGACTCCCACTTCGAAAAATACAAAAAAAATGATCTTTTTCAGTTCTGTTTTGATTCTCTTTCATGGAGTTCAACTGAGGCATTGTGGAGCTTTGAGGTTTTGTTAGCCGTTCGAGTTGGCTCGCGATTCCGTTCGAGTTAAATTTGTTCGTGTAATTGTTGGAATATCTTTATTAATCGAAAACCAGCCTTTCTCAGGTTCGTCTCTTTACCATTAGATCTGCTCTCATTTGCTTATGGTGAATCAAGCCTTAAAAGATCCATTTTAAGATGGGTTATTTGGTATTCTACATTGAAACACTTACCTCCAGAAATATGGGTAATTGATAGTTGAGATTTGTTTAATTTTCTTGGGGTTTGTTCACTCCTCTGTTTTAGCATTTTATTTAGTCTTGTTTAACAGATCTTTGGGATTGAGTGAATCTATTTTGTGGTGAATTTACATCTGAACGGCAAAGAATTTTTATAGAAGAATACCAGGATCGCGTTTGATTTTAGTCAAATATGGATGAATATTCATGTGATTCTTTACCATTAAAAATCGCCTAAAACTATAATTATCCATATGTTCGCTCGCTTTCTTTTTATGGCCCAAACATGGATTATGTGAGTTGAAGTTGTCAACTGGCCTTTACAATCTTCATATAAGATGAATCCATCATGAGTGTCTCGAGGTTAACCTGTCAATAGTTGGGTTTTCTAGCCTACCAAAGGTGATTTATGGCATGTTTCAGTCCACCTCTTGAGTAGAATTTTTTGTCGAATCTTAAAAAGTTGGGATTTAGTTCTTCGATTGAATGAGCTGAAAGTCTTTCTTAAGAAAAAAAATAGTTCTATAGTATATTATCTCAGTAGTGTAGGAGCTTTTGTCATCGGGTATGATTGTTTGGCATTATTTTAAAAGAAAAAATGAGTTTTAAAATCATTGTTGCTGTTTCGTTACCTTGTGAGATTTGTTGGTTTACTTTTGAGGTAGATTTGGACGTGTAGTTAATCTAGGGTATAGAGCACAATTTATGATTGATTTAAATTGTTTTCTAAATAATGTAAGATAAAGAAGAATTAGGGTGATTAGAAATCTTTTAATGTCTCTTCTTAATGGCTTTGATTCACATTTTCCTTTATTGTTCTTCAGCCTTCCCTTTATTTGCTGAACGTTTTTCTTATCTGTTTGAATGCTACTTTGTTCGATCCTGCTGGGTGTGAAATTGTATGAATGATGAACTGGGCCGTGGGTTTGCAGGGTATGACCAGCCCATTTGATAATTAATTTGTTTTCATATTTTTAGATATAGGGCTCGGTCCCATAAAAATAAAAGTTAAAAACAATACATGAGTGAATTTAATTGTTCTTTTATTCAGTTCTTTACTTTATTTTCTTTATTGATCATATTATTCATTAGGAGCATGTCTAGGCCGGCCATATTTGGGTAGGCAAATCTTCAGTACATTCGTGTTTTAGTTTCTTTTGAGGCGAGAGGTCGTTCCCTTAGTTAAATTTATCCGGGGATTGCCCCGAAGAATTTGTAAATATATTTTATCTCGGGGAATGCCCCATCGTACATGTAAAAGGAGGCCAAAAGTAGAAACTTGTAGTATTTTTATTTCATTTTCATTTTTCTTTCTCTTTTATTTAGGTGGGGACGACCTCGAACCTCTTGTGTGTTTATTTTCCTTTTTCTGTGTTTTCTACCTCAATTGAATATTTTTAAAAAGCCGACTAGATCGAGTATGCAACCGTGACTTTCACGGGACTTGAGGAGTGCCTAACACCTTCTCCCTGAGTCAAATGAACCCCCTTACCCTAATCTTTGGTGTAGACTTAGTTTTAGAGTTCAGAGTGTTTTGAAAGGAAAATTATTATCATTTTTAGAAAAACGGTGACCTGACACACCGAAATCAAATGTCAGGTGGCGTCTTTGAGTTATTTTCTTTTGAACACAATTTTGGTCATGTTCTAATTGGAAACCCTTTTCAAGCTTTACTAAATCTTTCTATTTATTTAAGAGGGTTAGTGAGGTTTGTTAAAAAAAGGGGGATGTGACATCTCTGACGACTCTGCTGGGGACTTGCGGGTTCGAGCTAGTACTTGATTTTGTTGGCTTTTAGAATATTTGGTTGAGGTTTTATGTTTTTTCATTAGCTTTACTTAATTTTTATTATGTTTTTATATTTTGTTATTTGCTAGTTGTTTATGTGTTTACAGTTTTTACTTTATGTGTTACTGCTTTATAACTGACATCATATGCATTACCCGGTCAATTCTTTCTGCAACAAGTCTCGGAGTACGCATCGCGTACACGAACTCTTCGTTGAGTCACCCTTATTTTAGAAGGGGAGGGGGGCGTCGGCGTATGGAGTGGGTGGAAAGCTTGAGCAGCCACCATCGACCATACGCTCCCCCGAATTGCCTTGTTAGTGAACCCCAAACTTAGGTCAGCCTTTAGATCATTTTTATTTGCATCATGTCATTTAGACCTAGTAGGGCTCGGTCCCAGGTACCGTGTCCCTTTGTAGGAAGCCCGTCCAAATTTTGTCAAAATGGGCCCGTGACCCAAAATGACATTTAATCATCCTATGTGCTAAATGTTGCATCTGTGAGGGTAGAAGGATCATTTGGCGGACCGATGCTTGGGAAAGAAGGGTGAAAATGAAGAAAGTAGGGCCCACTCACATTTTTTTCATAGTTTTCCAAAAATTCAAAAAAAAAATCCAAAAAGATTTTACATTTTCCATCATTTTCCCAAAAATTCAAAAAAAGGAGAAAAAGATTTTTTTTTTCAATTTTCATCAAAAATACAAAATAATAGTTTTTCCAAATTAGTCGCATTTTTTTAAAGGCTTCCTCCCATGTTTAATCTCCCGAACTACGCGAACCTGATTCTCGTCTTTTGAGACGTGATATATAGGCAACCCACATAGAGTCTGATCTTCCTAGTAGGTCCTAGGTTCTTGGCTTACAGGGTCGTAGCCAAATCTTGTATGTATAGCCATATTTGGCCACATTGGCCGTTTTTGCAAAAATAGAAGTATTTTCTCAAAGTAGTTTGTTATCTCTTGTCTTAGGATCTTGAGTCTACAATAAAGTGTCCTCTTAATTCTAAAGATCTTTCCTGTCAAATTTGCATGTCTAGCCACTTTTGGCCACATCGGCCATTCTTGCAAAATAGGGTTACTTTCGCAAGAGTGGCTATTTACCCATGTCTTAGGCTCTTGAGTTTATAACTCGGTGTCATATCACTTTAAGGTCCAGCCATGTCGTATTTGCGTCCCTAGCCACATTTGGCCACATCAGCCATTTTACAAAAAAAAGGGTCCATTTCCGCAAAGTAATTTTTAAGACCATGATTGTCGGGATATTAGAGTCATGGAAGCTTTAAATGGAGTATTTCTCATGCATTAGGGGTCAACTTTGTCAAGTTTGCGCTAATAGCCACTTTCAGCCACTTAGGCCATTTTGCAAATATAGCCAAGTTGTGTCCTGCATTTGTCCACTAGGAAATGTGGTGGGATCACGTAGTGTCCCAAGTCGCTAACCATGTTTGCTTTATTCAGGTATGAACCCGCTGATTCGATCCAAAGTGCTGATGGTGGTAAAGATTCCTAGGAAGTTGATCAAGTGGTGGAAAATGTTTTCATCGTTAGAGCATCATGAGTTAATGCAGAAATTGGGCACCCTAACTTCCCTTCTTGATATCACACCTCGCCCAGACTTAGTGGAGGCGATGCTGACTTATTGGGATCCGCAAAATTTGATTTTCAGATTTGGAGAGTGTGTGATGACTCCTACCTTGGCGAAAATATCTGGTCTCACTTATTTAAGCTATATAGGCAAGGACATGATACTTCCCCGAGACTACTCTAGGACAAGATTCCTCAGCGACCTGGGCCTGAAAGATAATAAGCATTTAAAATGTCTCGAGCAGTCCTGGATATCCTTGGATTATTTGTTTGTTAGATTTGGACCACAGGATAGTTTTGACGTCTTTTGGGATGAGTTCTGCACAACCAAGGCAAAGTGGCAAAGACATCGCCTCGAAGCTTTCAGACTTGCTTTGTTGGGATTATTGGATTTTCCATTAGATGAGAGGCACATTAGCACCCGTCTACAGTCAGTGGTAATGGCACTATTTCATGAGAAACAACGCAAAACCGTTACCGTTGTGCCGATGATCTTAGCAGAGTTGTACCGAGCCCTGAGTGAGGTTAAGGGAGGTGTCAGATATTTTGAGGGAAGTAACCTTTTGCTACAGTTGTGGATGATGGATCATTTGCACATCGCTTCCTTACTTTGTCCCATCGACCGTGCCTTAAGGGATCGGGTGATATGCATCGAACGTAGGATGAAATCTGCTAGGTTTACGTACCCAGTAGGCGTCACGGCTTGGATTGAGTTCCTTGTTTTGAGGACAAATGGGAATGTTTTGTGGGCTTACCTTTGGCTACCTTTGGATGATATCTTGGTAGGGTGCCTCATGCTGCCTTTCCTGATGCTGATAGGACTTAAGTGTGTCTGATTATATACTCCCATTAGGGTAATGCGGCAATTGGGCAGAAGATAAGAGGATCCTCCAACTTTGAATCTTCGGAGGCACATCATAAATTTTAGCAAAAAGGCGGCTGATGAAATCAAGTATGTGCAATACTGGAACAATGCAAAGAGGATGAAGAAAAATACATTAGTAGAGGACGTTGGCAGGCCCGAGTGTACTCAGGAGTACTTGATTTGGTTACAGTCCGTCCCGCCAGGGGTCAGCACCCCATTGCCAGCACAACTTAGGGGGCGGGCAATTCAGATAGATGATTTTGAGGAGGCATCGGACCAAGATCCCTGGGATAAGCTTGAGTTGATAAAGTCTCAGTTAGCGGGATTGGCAGCAAACATGGAGCAGCATGGCCAGTATTTGTTTAGGGTCGGACTTCAGGATGCGAGGGCACACGCCAGGGCCTTTATTCCCAGCATCGATGTTTCTTTACGAGGCATGTTACAGAGTTTGAGCATGATGGACAACCCAGGATCATCCCAGCCAGGATCATCGCATTCAAGAGCAGCTTGAGGATTCATTCTATCTAGGTGTTTTGAGATCGTCTTATGTTGTCTTTTACTTTCGTGTCTTGACTAGAAGTACTAAGTCCTTTAGGTAGTGTCAAAGTTTGTCGTAGTGTAGTTGAGTCTGTCAGGTTTTTCATTATCACACTTCTTATTGTATTTTAATATCGAAAAGTTTTTAAATGAAAAATCCCAAAAAAGATTTTGTTTTTAGTTTATTTTCCATCACTTTTCCAGAACTACGCTTGGTCTGATTCATGAGGGACATGATACGTAGGCAACCTACATCGGGTTCAAATCATTTTTGGTTCAAAATAAAAGGAGAAAGAAAAAGAAAAGAGTGATAAGAGGTGTTGGAAAAGAAAGAGAAGAAAGGATTGAAATGAGCAAGTTGGGATGATGCCATATGACCCTGCGACCCTCAAAGCCATTTTAGAATCATTAATCATTGCTAGGTGCATTTCACGTAATGTGATATTATTATTTGATAAATGCTTTAACGCTAACATGGTGGTTTTGTGTTGTTGTCCTCTGTTATCTCTATCAGTTTCAGGAAGGTGGTTCGTTTGTTGGCATCCTGGCAAGTCATCCATACAACACCCGATCAAAGCGTCAAACAGTCATGGCTAGTAAGGAAACAGACACTGGAGTTGTAGACCCACCAAGGGAGATTGTTGAGTTGGAATCGGAACTGCAAGAGGAGGTCCGGAGGTTGAAGCATCAGATGACAGAAATGTATCAAGCCTGGATTAAGGGACACCCTCCACCCTCCACCCTCGTTCCCTACCAACTACATAGAAAACCCTGCTTCCATTCCACCACTCTCTCAATCCCAGATGCCCAATACTATTGATCTTTCCCCACAACACGCACCTGGCTTTACCCCTTACCACAACTACCCCGACACTTCAGCCCAAACTGTTCATGCTCCGCCAGCCAAAACAACCTCGTACCCTGCTCCGACATCTGCTCCTATTTTTGTACCCCCTCCACAAGCTACCCTCCACCGATCCTCTAGTGGGCTCGCATTCCCCACTACAGATGCCTACTACTATGCACCGGAGCCCACCTTCAAAGTCCCAGATCCTTACTCTTACACTCCCCAATTTGAGCCTCATGTTGAAACTGACAAACCACCCAAGAACGCAGAGCAAGAAGAGATGTTTAGGAAGGTATAGAGTCTGGAGCAATCATTGAGAAATATGCAAGGAATGGGAAACCAAGTGAGTGTGGCCTATAAGGATTTGTGTTTGTTCCCCAATGTCCAATTGTCTGTCGGGTTCAAGATGCCCAAGTTTGACTTGTATGACGGACATGGGGATCCTGTAGCTCATCTGAGAGGTTATTGCAGTAAAATGAGAGGCACCGGGGGAAAAGACAAATTACTGATGGCACACTTCAGCCAAAGTCTGAGTGGGGCAGCTTTAGAATGGTACACCCGCCAGGACGCCAGCAGGTGGTACACCTGGGACAATATGGCTCAGGCCTTTGTCCGGCACTTTCGGTACAATATAGACATTGTTCCAGACCGCCTATCTCTGACCAAGGTGGAATAGAAACCCAGTGAAAGCTTTAGAGAATATGGGTTCCGATGGAGGGAACAAGCTGCACGAGTCAATCCTCCGATGGAAGAGGACGAGATGGTTAAATACTTTCTTCAAGACTTGGAGCCCACTTACTATGGCCACTTGATCTCAGCCATTGGTAAGTATTTCAATGATATGGTGAAGATGGGAGAAATTGTGGAAGAGGGGCTCAAGTCGAGTAAGATCATGAGCTATTCTGCTATAAAAGCAACCACTCAGGCAATCCAGAGTGGTACCGGAAGTTTGCTAGGCAAGAAGAAGAAGGAAGATGTCGCTATGGTTGTCTCCGGATCATGGCATGGCTAGAGAGGTTCACCTCATCAGTACACCCATCCTCGACCCCGACCTCAAACCTACTCCCAAGCTCCATATAATCCACCTAAACATTACTTTTCCCCGCAAAACCCCCAATACTCAGCCAGGCCATCCCAATACCTTGTTCACCATACACAGTCATATGCTCAACCCCCTACTTACCCGCAATGGCGTGCTCCAGCTCCACAGAATATCTACCAAGCTCCACAAAATACCTATCCACCCCTACAACCCTATCAAAACCCCACTAGTTCAAATTTTCGATCAAGTCCAGAGTATAGGAGAGAGAGGCAATAGCGAAAACAAACTTTTACCCTGCTTGGAGAGTCCTATGCTAGTCTATTTCAAAGGTTAAGGCAGTTGGACGTCTTGAAGCCGATTGAGTCAAAGATATCAAATCCCCCTCCAAAGAACCTCGATTATTCCCTAAGATGTGCCTATTGTTCTGATGCTCTAGGGAATGACATAGAGAAGTGTTGGCATTTGAAACAGGCAATCCAGGAGCTCATTGATACAAACCAAATTGTAGTCCAAAGCCCAGATACGCCAAACATCAACCAAACCCTTTGTCAGCCCATGCAGAGACGCATATGATTGAAATAGTTCATAAGGATGTGGAGCCCAAAAAGTCTTCTAAGTCCGTCATGATGATTCGGGACAGTGAAAGCAATTTGGTTAAAGCTCCAGACTCTACCAAAGCAACGCCCTTGATAGTCGAAGGGGTGACAGAGAAGCCAAGCTCATTCAGTTCGAAACCACCAGTGTTGGTCGTGAAAGGGCTATCGAAAGATATCGGGGCAAGTCCAGAAAGTTCAAAAGTGGTACTACTAGGGATTCCAAGTAAGCTTGTCATAGTTGTGAAGGGGGCTCCTATTACCCCTATCATCATTAGACCAGTAACCCAGCTGCCAGTGGTGGATGCCAAGGCTATTCCGTGGAATTATAAACAAGTGATAGTGACATACAAAGGAAAAGAAATAGAGGAAGAAGTTAATGAAACTGGAGGATTGACTCATTCTGGGAGATGTCTCACCCCAGAAGAATTAAGGAAAGCCAAGCCATTCAAGGATAGCCAAATGCCAGTAAAGAAATTGATTACCGAGGAAGAGGCTGAGGAGTTCCTGAAAAAGATGAAAGTGCAGGATTATCCCATTGTGGAGCAGTTAAGGAAAACACCAGCTCATATTTCTCTTTTGTCTTTGTTGATACATTCAGATGAACATCGCAAGGTCTTGATGAAGATTTTG